GTGGGGACATGGTGGGTCTAAAGAGACGTGGGGATATATGGGATAATGGGGGGGGGGGTTATGGGGTGATGGAGAAACATCGGAAGTGTCTACAGAGTCAGAAGGGTTATGGGGCGATGCAGGGGGGGGGCTGGGAGGACTTGGGGATTCTGAGTTGATGGAGGCTATGGGGAGGTTTATGGGGAGACTGGTTTGGTGTGACAAAGGGGACATATGGGGCTGTGGGGACGTGGGGAGGCTGTGGGATGATGAAGAGGCTACGGAGTTCCCATGGGTACACGGGGGTTACGGGGGAACATGGGAGCCAAAGGGGACTTAGAGGGCTACGGGTCACCGGTGGGGCAAAGGGGAGATGGGAGCAATGGGGGGGAGCGGAGGAGCCGAGGGGCCACGGGGCGTTGTAGGTCACTCACCCGTCGGTGGCGGCGGTCACCAGAGCCACTTTCCCTTCCAGGTTCCTCCCGGAATTAGGGGCAGCCCCCCCGGACAAAGCCCGCAGCCCCGCTCGCCCCATAACGCCCCACATCGCCCCGCTCCGCCCCACGGCCTTTGCTCTGCGAGGGGAGGGGCGGGAGGAGGGGCCGGGAGCGCTGGGGGGGTCGGGAGGGCCGACGGGGGGTGCGAGAGGGGGGAGAGGCGGGGGAAAGGGAGTTGGGGTCGGGGGGACTGGGAGGAACTGGGAGTTATGGGGGGCAGCAGGGGAATAGGGGGGCTGAGGTCGTTCCACGATGTACTGGGGCGGTGGGCTGTACTGGGTGAATGGGAGAGGGACGATGTATTGGGGAGGGACGCTGGGGGATCTTGGGGAGGGGCTCTGAAGGTTACGGGGGATCGCTGGAGCGCACCGGGAAGAGCCGGGCTGCGCTCGGGTTCCTTCGGACGTTTTCTGGCATGACGGCTGCAGATGGAGCTCAACTGTCTGCAAGGGGTGAAAGGATCCTTGCCCAGGAGCTGGCGGGTCTCACTGAAAGGTCTTTAAACTAGGTAATTAGGGGAAAGGGGACAAAATGAGGACTGCTGAGGTTCAGGTAGTTCAAGGTTCAAAAGTGAACTTGATGGGTGACGAGGGTGGAGTTCGAAGGGATGGAGTGTGGCAGGGGAATGCTGCCTCCCTGAAGTGTCTGTACAGCAATGCACGCAGTATGGGAAATAAACAGGAAGAGTTGGAGACCTGCGTGCGGTCACATGGCTATGATCTCACTGCGATCACAGAGACGTGGTGGGACAGCTCGCATGACTGGAATGTTGTCATGGAGGGCTATGTGCTTTTTAGGAAAGATTGGCCGGCGAGGCGGGGTGGTGGAGTTGCTCTTTATGTAAGAGAGCAGCTTGAATGTATTGAACTCCACCTGGGGGAGAGTGGTGTAGCAGTGGAGAGCTTGTGGGTAAGAATCAAGGGGCGGGCTGGTATGGCTGACACTGTTGTGGGAGTGTGCTACAGGCCCCCTGATCAGGAGGAGGTTGATGAGGCCTTCCACAAACAGTTCGAAGCAGCGTCACGATCCCAGGCGCTGGTACTTATGGGGGACTTCAATCATCCAGATATTTGCTGGAAAAGCAATGTGGCCAGGCATGCACGGTCCAGACGGTTCCTGCAATGTGTTGAAGACAACTTCCTGATGCAGGTGGTTGAGGAATCGACGAGGAGAGGGGCACTGCTGGACCTTATTGTCACTAATAGAGAAGGGCTTGTCAGGGAAGTAAAGGTCGGGGGCAGCTTGGGTTGTAGTGACCACGAGATGGTGGAGTTCAAGATCCTGAGTGGAAGCAGCAAAGCAAAAAGTAGGATTGCTATCCTGGACTTTAGGAGAGCCAACTTCGATCTCTTTCGGGGCCTACTTGGAGCTGTCTCATGGGCCGGGGTGTTGGAAGGCAAGGGGGCCTGTGAGAGGTGGTCAGCATTTAAGCAGCTCTTCTTCCAAGCTCAGGATCGGTGCGTCCCTGTGAGGAAGAAATGGGGAAAGGGTGGCAGGAGACCTGTGTGGATGAGCAAGGAGCTTGTGCACAAACTCAAAGGAAAGAAGAAGGCCCATGAAATGTGGAAAAAGGGTCTGAGTGCTTGGGAAGAATACAGGAATGTTGTCAGGGTCTGCAGGGATGCAACAAGGAAGGCTAAAGCCCGCCTGGAATTAAATCTGGCAAAGGGGATAAAGGTAATAAAAAAGGTTTTTTCAAGTACGTTAACAGTAAAAGGAAGACTAGGGAGAATGTGGCTCCCCTGCTAAGTGACGGGGGTGTTCTGGTAACGGGGGATGCTGAGAAGGCGGAGATACTGAATGCCTTCTTTGCTTCTGTCTTCAGTGAAAAAGCTCCCCCTCGGGAATCTGAGACCCTGGAGGTGAGTGAGAGGATCTGGGGAATGCAAGACCCCCCTTCTGTCAGGGAAGAGGTGGTCCAGGAGCACCCAGGCAACATCAATGTTCAGAAATCCATGGGACCCGATGGGATTCATCCACGGGTGCAGAGGGAGCTGGCAGAGGTGATTGCTGAACCGCTTTCTGTCATCTTTGAGAAGTCTTGGAAGACGGGGAAGGTGCCTGAAGACTGGAAGATAGCCAATGTCACTCCAGTCTTCAAAAAAGGCAAGAAGGAAGATCCTGGCAATTATAGGCCAGTCAGCCTCACCTCTGTCCCTGGAAAGGTGATGGAACAGCTGTGCTGGATGTCATCTCCAGACAACTGGAAGAAGAGGAGGTTATCAGGAGTAGTCAGCACGGGTTCACAAGGGGGAGGTCGTGCTTGACCAACCTGGTGGCCTTCTATGATGTTGTCTCTGGCTGGGTGGATGGGGAGAGAGCAGTGGATATAGTCTACCTTGATTTCAGCAAGGCTTTTGATGCTGTCCCCCACAACATCCTTATAACAAAGCTGAGGAAGTGTGGGATAGATGAGTGGACAGTGAGGTGGGTTGAGAACTGGCTGACTGGCAGAGCACAGAGGGTCGTTGTTGGTGGTGCAGAGTAGGGTTGGAGGCCTGTAACCAGCGGTGTTCCTCAGGGGTCAGTGCTGGGTCCGGTCTAGTTCAACATCTTCATCAATGACCTTGATGAGGGGATGGTGGCCACCCTCAGCAAGTTTGTGATGATACGAAGTTGGGCGGATTGGCTGACAGCCTGAAGGCTGTGCTGCCATTCAGCGGGAGCTGGACAGGCTGAGAGCTGGGCAAAAAAAAACCGGATGAGGTTTAACAAAAGCAAGGGTAGAGTCTTGCATCTGGGGAGGAATAATTGCATGCACCAGTACAGGTTGGGGGATGAGCTGCTGGAGAGGAGCTCTGCACAGAGGGACCTGGGTGTCCTGGTGGACGACAGGTTGCCATGAGCCAGCAGTGTGCCCTTGTGGCCAAGAGGGCCAATGGCATCCTGGGGTGCATTAAAAAGAGCGTGGCCAGCAGGTCGAGGGAGGTGATCCTCCCCCTCTGCTCTGCCCTGCTGAGGCCTCACCTGGAGCACTGCGTCCAGTTCTGGGCTCCCCAGCACAAAACAGACAGGGATCTCTTGGGAAGAGTCCAGCGGAGGGCCACAAAGATGGTGAAGGGCCTGGAGCATCTCTGCTATGGGGAAAGGCTGAGTGAACTGGGTCTGTTCAGCCTGGAGAAAAGAAGGCTGAGAGGGGACCTGATCCAGGTATATAAATATCTAAGGTGTGGGGGGCAGAATGCGAGGCCAGACTGTTTTCAGTGGTGAATGGAGACAGGACAAGGGGAAACGGCTGGAAACTGCAGCATAGGAAGTTCCGCACAAACATGCGCAAGAACTTCTTTACAGTGAGGTGATGGAGCACTGGAACAGGCTGCCCAGGGAGGTGGGGGAGTCTCCTGCTCTGGAGATGTTCCAGACCTGCCTGGATGCCGACCTGTGCGACCTGCTGTAGGGAACTGCTTTGGCAGGGGGTTGGACTCGATGAGCTCTGGAGCTCCCTTCCAACCCCTACAATTCTCTGATTCTGTGATTTCCGGCCTCGCTTGGCTCGGCTCGGCTCCTCTCGGCCGCAGCATGGCCCCGCCGGCGGGAGACGTGTCCCGGGAGCTGCAAGGTAGGCGCCCAGCGCCCCTGTAACCCCAAATCCCCCCGCTGCACCCCAAATCCCACCCACATCCCTCCATTTCACCCCTAAACCTCTCAAAATCCTACAATTTCCCGCTAAATCCCCTCAGTTTTGCATTCAATCCTCCCATTTTCCTCTAAATCCCACCCTCGTTTCCCTCAGATCTCCCCGTTTACTCTCAAATCCAAACTAACTGCTTCTATTTCCCCCCAAATCCGTCCACAGTTTCCCTCAATTTCCCCTAAAATCCTACCTGAATCCCCTCATTTCCCCCCGTATCTCTCTTCATGGGATCCCCCATAAACTCCCATGGGCTCAAGGCCCCCATAACTCGCTCCATATCCTTCCTCATCCCCCATCCAATCACCTCATACATCCCCAGATCTCCTCAGTGCTCCCCTCCATCACCCCATAGCGATCCATGTTCTTTCCATGCAGCCACCATATTCCATCCATAGCCCTCCTATCCCCCCCCGTACCCCCCTAATCCCCAAATCCCTTCCATTGACCCTCCCATCACCTCAGCACCCCTCCTTATTCTCTCCACACTCCCCGCAGATCCCCTCCACGGCCATCCCGTAATCCCGCCCCAATTGCCCTATAACATCCCCCCGTAATCCCATAAGGCATCCACAACCCTTCCGTAGGCCCCTAACGTACAATATCCCCCCCATAAACTTCCTAGCCCCATACCCCCCCCCCCCCCAGATCCCTTCCGTGCTCCCCCACGTCCCGCCATAACCCCCCAGACCCCATAACCCCCAGATGCTGCCATGACCCCCTGGAGCTCCCAGCCCCCCTCCTTTCCCCCCGTGCCCCCAAAGCTCCGCGTGCACGGCTCTGGGCCGAGCGCTGTCCGTGGTGCTGAAAGCGGCGCTAAACGGCAATGGGAGCGGGGAGGGGGCAGCCTGGGGGGCGCTGGGGAGGGGGAGGTTCCAGGGATGAATCCTTCCCCTCGTAACCCCAACCCCATTCAGAAAGCATCCGCCGGGCCCTGGGGCGGCCCCGCATCCACCTGCTGCTGCGTGCCCGCCTGGAGACCAAACCCCGTCGGCTGGAGGAGAGGATCCTGGTGGGAGCTGGGAGGGATGAGAGGAACGGGACGGGGATCGGGGCCCTGGGAGGGGGACTGGGGGCGCTGAGAGGGATCCAGGGTTATTGGAAGCACTGGGAATACTGGAAGCGGGCTCAGCGGGTACTGGGAGTAGAAATGGGGACACTGGGAGGGGGTCTGGGACATTCGCTATTAAAGACCTAAGAGTTATTGGGAGCACTGGGAGGGGGTCAGAGGTTACTGGGAGGCACTGGCACTGAAAGTAGGGACACTGAAACGGGTCTGGGGGCACCGGGAGGTACTGGGAAGGAGAACAGAAGCACTTGAAGGGGAAATGGGATGCTCTGGGAGGGAGGCTGATGGCACTGAGAAGGGAAATGGGCAAATGGGGCTCTGGGAGATCACTGGGAGCACCAGGGGGCACTGGGAGAGGTCTGAGCTCTTAGTGGAAGCACTGGGAGCACTGGGTGCCAGCCTCTGTCTCCCAGGCCCTCACTGCCTGGCGCCTGCACCTCTTCGGCCCCACAACACCGGCCAAGGTGAGCCCTTGCACGGGAATTTGCACGAGCGAATGTGCTCAATTTTCACGCGGATTGATACGGGGATTTGCAGAACGATTTGCATAGGGATGTTCAGAGGGATCTGGTTGTGCCCAGCACGACCCACTGCATGAGAAACCACGTGAGGATTTGCACTGTTCCCTAGCAGAAGCATTTTATGAGCATTTGCACAAGGGTTGACAGAAGCAGCTGTTTGCACGAGCCTGCCTTTTTGCACCAACATTCACATGAAAGCTTAGATGGGAATTTGCACAATAATTTGCATGAGGATTTGCACAAATGTATGCACGAGGGTTTGCATGGAGTCCATCCTCTTGCAGCAGGGTTTTCATACTGCTGAGCCCTTTCCTACCTGTTTGCACAAAGATTGCCATGAGGAATTGCACGTGGATTTGCATGCCCATCTGTGTGCCCACGTGCACAAAGATTGCTGTTTGCTGCCAGGCTGAAGGTTCCCTGAGCGTGCTGGAGATTCGCTGCATCAGTGCCACCAGCCCCACCCAGGTACCCACCACCTCCCAGTGCAGACCAGTATGGGCCAGTGCGGACTGGTGACCCTCAACTGCTTGCCCAGAATCATGCCGAGCCTCTCAGTGTG